ATAGTTTTTGAGCTGTAGACTAGACCAATATCATCCACATAACTCGGAGATCGCACTATTCTCATATTTCTATTTTTGAATAGATATGCAGTGTATATTGCAAATAAAATGGGTGAGATTGGAGACCCCTGTGGTACTCCTATTTTTATCTCAGTCTTGTCTTGTTTCATTCCATCAAAGAAGAGTTGTATAATTCTTTTAGACATAAAACAGTTAACCCATTTTATTAGGGAAAGTGGCAGTTTTAATATCTTCAATGTCTGAATTAACTTTGACTTTGAAACATGATCAAACGCTCCTTTTATATCAATAAAAACTGCAGTTGAGACCAGACCCTCATGCTTTGCTATTTGAATATCATGAACAACTGAGAGAACAGTGTCAATTGCAGAACACTGTTTTCTACCTCCCATTTGTTCACTGAATAAAAGAGAATCATCTATAGAGCTTATAAAAGATAGTCAAGTAGCTATTATCTTTTCTAAAACCTTTCCTAAACAGTTCAATAGAGATATTACTCTATATGACTTAGGAATTGAAGTTTTTCTATTAGGTTTTGCAAGAATCACTCCAGTGGCTTCTCTCCAGCATTCAGGATGATATCCATTTTTCAAGAGATTGAAAAAGAGCTCAAAATATTCATTCTTTAAGTAGGAATATGTATTTTGAATAATCAAGTGATTAATTGAATCTGGACCTGCAGCAGTTTTAACAGAACTTGAGAAGATAGCTGACTCTAATTCATCTTGTGTAAGATCAGGCCATTCCCAGTCATTTTCATCAACATAGTTGAGAAGTGATATATTCTCTTCCTCTGAATCTGAATCTGAATCTGGTGAGTTCTGAAAGAGAATTCTCATGAAAGCTTGACATTTTTCCTCAAAAGAGTTTGCTGTATATGATTCATTCTGAAACTCATATTCTAGAGCTGGAAGTTTTGCTACACTTCTTGTTTTAGTATAGTTAAAAGCTTTAAAAACTTCCTTCCCTTGTGCTTCTTCAAGAAATTTATTCCAGCAGTCTGTTTTAGCTCTTTTAATATCTGAAAAATATTCATTTCTGACAGTTTTGAACTCTTCATCAGATATTACATCATTCTTCCAATCTCTTCTAGCAGTAGCTAATTCTTTTCTTTTAGATGAGATATTCTCATTCCACCAAGGTTTTGAATACTCAGAAGATTTTCTTTTTGGAATATTATCTCTAACACTTGTTAGAATGATAGATGTAATAAGCTTCACTCTACTCTCAAGCATTTCATTTGAGATATCTTGACCAGAATTCCAATATAGCTCATTCTGTCTTTCAGATTTTAACAGTTTTATGCTTTCTTCAACTGCTTTCCAATCAGCTTTTTCAAAGTTATACTGATTAGAGAGAAGAGGATTTTCACTCATTTGTTTTTCACTCAGTTCAATATCAAATTGAATAATCTCATGACCTGATCCTGATGTCTCATTTGAATCAATAAACCAGTTTACAAGTCTTCTTTCCATTAGATTTTGTGACATGAATGTTAGATCTATAATAGACTTCTGTTTCATGCCTTTTCTAAAGAATGTTTGTTGATCAGACTTATTAACCAAATCTATTGAATGCTCAAAGGTCCATTCAACCAGATTATCAGCTCTCACTGCTCTCTTGCATTCTGAATTCCACCAGAGATGATGTGCATTGAAATCTCCTGCAATTATAGAGTTTCTTGATGGAGTTATGTTCAGAAATCCTCTATCAATTGTCCAGATATTGTTATTTTCCTTCAATGACTTTTCATTATAGATATTTATGAGCTGTATAGTATCAAACTCATTTTCTTTATCTATAATATCACCCACCAGAATATCAGGGTCAGACATGATATCAAATCTTAGATTAAATTGATATCTTGATCTCTTTCTTCCATAGATCACTACTCTTGACTTTATCTCAGACTTTTGAGGTAAAAAGCAGTAGTAGCTTGAATGAGAAATGACATATTTTTGCTCAGCATCAAAATTCGGCTCCTGAAGCAGTACAAAATCAACTTTTTGTTCAAATGCAATTTGAAGACAAGAATAAATGCAATTTGAGTTTCTATTCACATTATTTTGAATAAATGTGATTTTTGAAGAGTTTTTAAACTTTTTTTTTTGTTTTTATTGTATATTCATACTAAAAGAGAGTAGAGAAGAATCTAATCACTATCATCAGATAGTAGATTATAACTGTTCTGAAAAGTAGGAATCTCAACTGCTTGCATTATATCTAGTTTATCATCAGAGTCATTTCTCAATTCTCTAATCTTAACAGGAGTTTGAGGATTCAAATTCTGTTTACATTTTGCTGGAGAATTGGAGTTTGAAGACTTAGATAATTGAGAGTTTCTTCTTTTTGAGCTTGCAGTTGTGAGTTTACTGGCTTGACTCTTCTCTTCAGTTCTAGATTGACTTTGAGCTTCATCTTTTCTCCAGTTCTTTTGAGTTCTAGGAGCAAACATACATTCTTTAGAGCTAGATGCATGTTTTTCTTTGCAATTAGAGCACTTAAGCAGAGTATGTTGACAAATTTCACCTCTTTTTGAGCATGTTTCACATTTATGCTCACTAGTTTTGTGATCTCTGGCACAGAATGCACATTTTGAGTCTCTAAAACATGAGATTGCAAAGTGTCCATATCTTTGACAGTTTGAACACTGTGTTTGAGCTTTGAGATTCATTCTTGAGTCTTTGTATTCATGAACTCTCATTTTCAAACCTGCTACTCTTACTTCAGAGATCTTTGACTGTTCAAGTGTTTTTGTATATACTAGAACAGAGGCATTTCTCCTGCTTTGTCTGAACTCAATTGAATTTAGCCATACAGGCTCCTTTCTCAGTTGAATGAAGTTGTATTCTTTCAATTCATTTTTGAGAAGTAGCATTCCTTCTTCACAGTCAAAAATTTCAACTGGAATATCATGAAGAATGAATTTGCCCCACTTTTCATCTCTTTCAGATAGAATTGTTGTGTTTAGCAATGATTCTACTGCTGACTTCCAGAGATTCTCATTCTGAATAAGGAATTCAGCACTGAATTCAGGCATTGTAGTCAGAATAATAGAGTTTCCAAAGAATGATGGCTCAATTGAAGCTATAACTGGTTTTTGAACTTCAATATCAGTCATCAACTGAGAAAAGAACTGCTGATTAATTTCATTTCTGATTCTGAAAATGAGATTTGAGTTTAGCTTGTTTCTTTGCAGAATGTCCTGGTTTGAGACTTTGAGAATGAGTCTTCTATTTCTAGAGATTTGGAAGTTTTTCTCTTTTTGCATTTTCTTTTCCACTTTTCTATGAATAGAGGCATGAGCAGTATTCTTCTCAGTTTTCTCAGGATTTTGAGCAGGTTTTGAGACAGCAGGTTTAGAGACAGCAGATTCAGCTGCTTGAGCATATGTTTTCTTCTGATTCAAAGAAGAAGAAGGAGTAGGAAGAAAGGAAGAAGAAGAGTGAGATGAAGAGTCAGTGATTGTACTAGGAATTTTCAAGGTTTTTTGAACTGTGTTTGAGATTCCAAGTTTGAACTTGATCACCTCCTGTAGTTGTCTGGCCTGAGCATGAAGAATTAACAGAACTTCTTCATTCATCTCACTCAGACACTGCTTTCCAAGAATCTTGCTTGCTTTTTCAAGTTCCTGTATTTCAAGAACTTGTTGTTTCTCTATTTCTTCTTTCTTTCTTCTCTTCAGAATTTCAATCTCAGGAATAGTATTTGAGAAAGCATCTTTTTCCACATCAACTGAGCGTATTTTTGAACTCATTGTTTTCACTCAATGAAAAGTTGGTCAGACTGTTTCAATTGAGATATTTCTAAGTCTGTTTTCAATTGAAAAGTTGGTCAGACTGTTTCAAAAGAAGAATAAAAGACTTTTGTGTATAAAACACCTGATTTTTTTCACACTAGTTCAGTAACTAGGTTAGATTTTTGAAGAGAATCTAATAAACTAAAATTGATTTTTAAGATAAATCAATAAAATCTTTACAATCTCTTTCTTGGGATACAGTGAGGAAAAGTATGATATCAATTGATAATAAATCAGATGATATGACAGTTTTTGAGAGAAAAACTGACAAAAAATAAATCAATTTTTTGCAGAGAAATTGATTAAAACTATTCAATTTTATTCTAAATCATCCAATTCTCCTCACACAACAAGTGTGCAACTCAAATCAGTTAATAAAGAGTGTAAAAAAGAATTAAGTATTAATGAAAGCTCTTCAGCCACTGAAATAGTAATTCTTACTTAAAAGAATATGAAATTATGACAGAAAACAACTCTGTTTTTAATTCTTTGTAAGAATATTGTGTAAAACCCAGAGAAAAACACCTTACTTTTTCAAGAGAAGTAAAAAACTATTTCTAAGATCTTTTTTTTTTGCATTAACTGCTGCAGAAGAATGAGATAGAAACTGCTAAGATATGCACTACTGTATACCCTCTATCAAGACTTTCCCTCTTCAGGGTCTTGATATTATAGAGAATATAAGTCTGTTTCTATATGATAATATAAATATTGCCAGCGGGATGTAGAGGAACTGGTTATTTATATCTCAAAATAGAAGACTTTGTCAATGATTATATCAATATAGAGTTAATTCTCAAATTCAATAGAAACCTAGTGTTGCTGTTCTCAATCCCTTGCAGAATCTATTGAATATTGAGGTATTAAAACTAGATTTAATATATCTCACTGTGCAGGGATCAAAGGCTCAGTCAGACCTTGGGGTATACTGATTTTATAGTTGTTGATGTGCTGTTGACTTGTTGTCCACTGGTTATGTATTGAATACTGTTGCCGAGGTATCTTTTTGTATCGTTCTGCTGGGGATGGGCCAGATTGAGAGGGGTAGTACAGGGGTGAGACTTGGTGTTGAAGTCTAGATACACTGGCGGCGGACCGTGGAGGTTGCACTTCAGAAGAGTCCGTTGATTATGTGCTTGATATTATCGCCGAGGTATCTTTTTGTATTTTTCTGCCGGGGATGGGCCAGATTGGGAAGGGCGGTACGAGGGTGAGACTTGGCGTTGGTGTTTTGGAACATCAAAGATGGACAGGGTTTTCGCGGAGGTCGCTCCTCGGATATCTCCACAACTACAGGTCGGGGGTCTTCCAAAATCGAGAAGATTGGTGCATATGGCTAGGTCACTTCACCTTACAATTTGTATGGCACTCTGGCCCGGGGTTGTGGTGTGGTAGGGGAGAACGGGGGATAATCCCACACAGGAGCTTCGAACAACGTCCGGTTCACGTTTGGCTGGATAACTCCACCACCACACGGGGTATGCGGTCGGCGATGGGGTCAAAATGCTCGTATGATCGAGGGCTTTTCGATGGATCTATCGGCGGGTTCTTATTCGAAAAATCGAGCGAGTTCGTGGTGGAGCGGTTTGATATGCATTGAAAATTTTTTGGGGTTTTATCTATGCTGACATGCTTTGAGTTGTTATATATGAACTTCACAAGTGATAATCAATGCACTCAGTCATTCTGATTGTAATTGACAAAGTATCACAGATACTGTTTTAATATACTCATCAGATATTCTGTCTGATCATCTGTCTATTAATGAAAAGCTGTGCTTAGATCTTATGAGATCTTTAGTATAGTTATCAGATCAGATCAGAACTCTTCTGCAAAGATTAATTCTCTATCTGAGATAATATTCATAGACAATTCATGCAACTGAATCACATTGCAGACAAAAATATAAGTTAAATTCTTTGACTTCAAGTTCTTACAGGTGGATATAAAGTGTGTTATCTTGATAAAGTGATTCACTATCATCAGCACACTGTCAAAGCAGGCATTATATATGTTCTTACTTTCAGAGAGGCTCACAAGAGCATTCATTTCTAGCTGTTCTCAAGGTTTTCATGAGATGAGTAGAGGAGTAAGTTCTTTATATAATCTGAATCACACTCTCTGTGAATTCTGATAAACAGTATAAGAATTCACTATCTTCTTCACAAGTTCTTACATCTTCAGTCAGAAGTATTTTCTTATGAGTAACTTATGAGTTCTAGTATCTGTAAAATGACTCACTAGAGAAGAGTCATGATATCTTTTAATAAGTTCTATATATAGAAACTTATTCATAGATACATAAATTCAGTCCTCTCTTTATAAGAGGTTATTTAAGTCTCTTCAATTCTTTATTTCTGCAGAATTGATCTCTGCTGTAAGCAGTTTCTAAATATACTGAGTATATTCATTCTTCAGTTACAGTTCAGACAATCTGAATAGAAAATCTTATAAAGACTTATGCTCTGTTTCTTCTTACATCAGGTCTTTCACAGTACTTCTCAAAGTCTGCAAACTCTTCAGATTATAGATACTCTCTTCAAGAATTCTCATGAAGATTTTCAGAGTGTTAACTCTTAGTATTATAGAGAGTAGTTATACAGACTTCTTCTCTCTCTCTTCTCTCTTCTCTTATAAGAGATTGAGAGACTCTTTAGTTAATCTCTTTATAACACTCAGTTTAAGCATTTCATGAAGCTTTTCTGCCTTCTCTAGTCTCTCTATATCTGTCATCCTGGCCTTCTTAACATAGTCTGATCTGTGAGAGAGTCTGTCTACTGAGTTCTTAGTTCTCTTGATATGTTCTATCTTGAATCAGAACTCACTCAGTCTCTGAGCTCAGTGAACCTGCTGCTGTGAGAGTTTCTTGATTAAAGTAAACTATTATAAGCTGTTATAATCAGTTCTAATAGTAATCACTGTTACAAGGCTCTTGAAGTAGTAACATCAGTAGTGAAAGAATTTCACTATTATAAGAAGCTTCTGATCATAAATGTCATAGTTAATCTTTATAAATTATATCTTTCATAAGAAAAAGGCTACTGAAACCCAGTTCTCATTTAACTGTAGTTATGAGACTATTTCTGAAATTGTAAAGAAGAAGACATCTATCTCTAATCTGATTAAGAGCAAGAGATTAAAGTGAAATAGTATCACTACATCTATAAATATCTGTTTCAATCTTATAAAGATCTCACAAGCTTCTAAGATAAGAAAGTTCTTACAGTTCTCTCTTCTCAATAATCTTTTCATTCTTCATTCATGAAATGACTTCTTCTTATTTCCACTCTTCAGCATATCTGTAAGGGCCAAGAAGATTCTCATAAATATAAAGATAAACTGTCTATAGAAATTCACAAAGCTCAGAAAGATCTGAATCTCATAAATACTAGTTAACTTCAGCTATGATAGAATAGTCTCAACTCATGAAGATTTCATCTGAATATTATTCATAGTGATTACATATTCTAGAAAATTAATTCAGTAAGCACTGAAGTTGCACTTCATAAGCTTAATATACAGTTCTGTCTCATCTACGACCTTCAACACACTTCATACATACTCAGTGTGTTCTTTCTTCTTCATGAAGTACATCATCACATCATTCAGATATATTATTATAAAGACATTCAGATATGTGCAAAGTATTTTATTGATGAAAGACTGAAATGTCATAGAGACATTAGTCAGATCAAAAGACATTACTAGATATTTAAACAATTTCAGTGCAGTTCTAAAGACAGTCTTTTATTCATTCTCAAACTGTATTTGCAGTCATGTATATGTATTGATCACATTCAGTTATGTGAATATGACAGCTTCTGTGAGACAGTTAATCACATTCTCAATCAGAGACAGAGAGTAGCAGCTCTTTATTATCTTGAAGTTCAGATTATAATAATCTACACACAATCTGAGATCTTTATTCTTCTTCTTCATGAATATCACAGAGGCTTCTGCAGAGGCCTGTGAAGATCAGATAAAGTTATTCTTCAGATTCTTCTTCACATAGATCTGCAAGATCTCTGTCTTATGATGAGAGAGCTTATAGATTGATTCTCAGAAGAGTTTCTACTCTTCTATCAAATCTATTATCAGATTCTTCTCACAGTGAGAAGAAAGCTCAGCTGTCTTAGCTGAGCTAAATATCTCTATAAGATCTCAGTATTTCTCTGATATCTGAAGCTCAGTTTTCATAACTGCAAGATTCTCAGACACTTACAAAGTCATTATATAGATAAGCTTGTCTTCTCTAATTAACTCTGCAGTATTAACTGCTTCTATCTTCATAAGTGAGTCTATCAACACTGATCAGAAGTATAAACCTGACTTATGAACAGTTATATGTGAATTATGTCTTTAAAGTCATATAAGTCTCAAATACATGTCATCTGTGATGTCTGTAATAATCACAGTTTTCACAAATCTTCTTCAGATTTCAGAGAGATCTTGCAATTCAAAGATGACTCTCATGAGTCTCTCAGTTCTCAGGTCTGAGTTCTCACATTCTGCTTATTATAAGAGCAGATTTTCAGTTTTCATCTTTCAGCTCATTCACTCTGTGAGCTTTAGAGACATTACAGTGATCTGAGATTCTGAGTTCATTAATACTTCTCATGCTTGCAGAGCAGCAGTACTACAGTGTGATCTCTTCTTATAAACAAGTATTTTCATTGAGAAAGTAACAGATTCAGATGTCAGCTTCAAGACTCTTAAGAAGGCTGTTACTGACTCTGTCTGTAACTTCTCAAATTTCTATTTTAATTTATCTGAACAGTTTGTGTAAAGATGTTCTGATTTAGAATAGATGAAGTATAGTCTCTTTTTCTTGATCTCTCTGTTATACACTCTGTTCATAAGAGCTTGTGAAGCTCTCTCTTTCTGCTCAGCAGTCAGACATGAATCTCTCTATATCTTATCATCTTTTCTCAGCAAATCTGTTCTCTGTTGTTCTAACTCTCATGAGACTGATCAGTGATTCACTCTTCATAATTCTGTGACTCTTACAGTAATCTGTAAGCAGTGAATAAGAGTCATCAGTTTCTTCAGAGTCAAGAGCTTAGAGTCTTACTCAATAAGCTTGTTCTGCATGTCTTTATTCAGTCTCTTTACAAATATCATCATTCAGGTCTTGTTTCAGGACCCTGTTTTCACAGGTCTTAATTCACATTACAATTTCATGAAGTATCACAAGTAGTCTTCATCAGATTCCTCACCTCTTTTTCTAATATTGATGATCACAGTTCAGGTATTCTCTGTTCAGCTCACAGAGTCTCTCAACTTATTCTCTAGATAGATCTTGAGAACAGATCATCAGAATCTCTCATAATTATTCTCTAAATAATTCAGTCAGTTCTTGGCTTCAGTGTAATAGAGATCTGTCATTGCATAGATGATAGCTTCTTCATCTTTCATATCACACAGCTGAGCTTGTGAGTCAATTTCAAATACAAACTCACAAAAGCTTTTATAGATTATAATTCAATAAGTGGCCTTAAGTGATTGTAGCTTAAGAAAGTTTCTTTTCAGTTCATGAGTATCTCTGAAGATCATGTCTAGAGACTCAGTTCAAGAGTGTTTACAGACAGTAAGCATTTCTTGTAGAAAAATAGCTTGATTCTGTGAGAGATGCTCAAGAATGTTCTTCACTGAGATTAATTCATTCATAAGTTCAGAGAGTTTCTCTGTCTGAGATGTAGAGAATGATGTTCTGTGAGTGATTGATAAGTTCTCTGAGACTTCTTTTACAGAGATTATTCATGGTTCAGATGACTGCTTCTGAGTGTCTGCAGTAGAGTTCATAGAAGTTGAAGTATGTGAGTTTCTAGTTCTTTCAGTTATAACAGATGGTTGCTGACTGACTGAGCTTGAAATGTAAGAATAAGTGCTCACAGGTGATTATTCAGGTGTTTGCAGCTTGGTGTGATATGTACTGTTAACTACTAGAAGTATTCACAGTAGAAAGATAAAATGTAGAGGTTAAATATATAATAGTATTCAAGCTGAGTTGTAAATAGTATTCGCGAACTCCAGTCTATATAGTTGTGTGTAGCCAAGGGCCGCTAGCCCTATTGATTACGCAAGAAATAGGAATAGAGGTAAAGAATCCGCAAGAAGCGGGATTTCTTACATAAGAAGATATTAACTTTTAAACTCTTACAGACTCTTATAAGTGTAGACAAAGATCAGACTTATGAAGATTTCTGTGTATAACTTTAGACATTGAATTACTGTCTTATCAAGCTCAAGAGTGTACAGAACAGTGATAGAAGATATTATATCTCAGTTACTTATATATCTATACTGAGAAATAACAACAATGATACAGATGTTATGAACTGAGTAGACTTAAATATCTATATAGAAGTGAGAGTCTCTGTTATCTGAACAGACTTTTGAGTTTCTGAAATTACTTTCAAAGAAGTTACTGATTAATGTCAATATAAGATATACATCAATTGTAACTAATCAGAATATATTACTTTTAACTGCTAATTAATCTATATATCTTCTCACTTAAGAGAAAGATCAGCATCTTCTCACTTGAGAGAAAGATCAGTGTCTTCTCACTTAAAGAATGAATCAGTGCCTGTTCATATT